TAGAGATGGGGTGTGTTCCGGTCTCTCCGGCTGGCTGTAGAGATGGGGTGGGTTCCCGGTCTCTCCACCTGCCTGTAGAGAGAGGGGTGGGTTCCCGGTCTCTCCACCTGCCTGTAGAGATGGGGTGGGTTCCCAGTCTCTCCAGCAGGCTGTAGAGATGCAGTGGGTTCCCGGTCTCTCCAGCAGGCTGTAGGGATGGGGTGGGTTCCCGGTCTCTCTAGCAGGCTGTAGCGATGGGTGGGTTCCCATTCTCTCCGGCTGGCTGTAGGGATGGGGTGGGTTCCCGGTCTCTCCAGCTGGCTGTAGAGATGGGGTGGGTTCCCAGTCTCTCCAGCAGGCTGTAGAGATGCAGTGGGTTACCGGTCTCTCCAGCAGGCTTTAGTGGTGGGGTGGGTTCCTGGTTTCTCTAGCAGGCTGTAGAGATGGGGTGGGTTCCCGGTCTCTCCGGCTGGCTGTAAAGATGAGGTGGGTTCCCGGTCTCTCCAGCAGGCTGTAGAGATGCGGTGGGTTCCCGGTCTCTCTGGCTCGCTGTAGAGATGGGGTGGGTTACCGGTCTCTCCAGCAGGCTGTAGAGATGGGTGGGTTCCCATTCTCTCCGGCTGGCTGTAGAGATGGGGTGGGTTCCCGGTCTCTCCAGCAGGCTGTAGAGATGGAGTGGGTTCCTGGTTTCTCTAGCAGGCTGTAAAGATGGGGTGGGTTCCCAGTCTCTCCGGCTGGCTGTAGAGATGGGGTGGGTTCCCGGTCTCTCCACCTGCCTGTAGAGATGGGGTGGGTTCCCGGTCTCTCCACCTGCCTGTAGAGATGGGGTGGGTTCCCGGTCTCTCCGGCTGGCTGTAGAGATGGGGTGGGTTCCCGGTCTCTCCGGCTGGCTGTAGAGAAGGGGTGGGTTCCCAGTCTCTCCAGCAGGCTGTAGAGATGCAGTGGGTTACCGGTCTCTCCAGCAGGCTGTAGAGATGGGGAGGGTTCCTGGTTTCTCCAGCAGGCTATAGTGATGGGGTGGGTTCCCGGTCTCTCCGGCTGACTGTAGAGATGGGGTGGGTTCCCGATCTCTCCGGCTGGCTGTAGAGATGGGGTGGGTTCCCGTCTCTCTCCCGCTGGCTGTAGAGATGGGGTGGGTTCCCGGTCTCTCCACCAGGCTGTAGAGATGGGGTGGGTTCCCGGTCTCTCCGGTCGGCTGTAGAGATGGGGTGGGTTCCCGGTCTCTCCGGCTGGCTGTAGAGATGGGGTGTGTTCCCGGTCTCTCCGGCTGGCTGTAGAGATGGGATGGGTTCCCGGTCTCTCCACCTGCCTGTAGAGATGGGGTGGGTTCCCGGTCTCTCCGGCTGGCTGTAGAGATGGGGTGGGTTCCCGGTCTCTCTGGCTGGCTGTAGAGATGGGGAGGGTTCCTGGTTTCTCTAGCAGGCTGTAGAGATGGGGTGGGTTCCCAGTCTCTCCAGCAGGCTGTAGAGAAGCAGTGGGTTCCCGGTCTCTCCGGCTGGCTGTAGAGATGGGGTGGGTTCCCGGTCTCTCCGGCTGGCTGTAGAGATGGGGAGGGTTCCTGGTTTCTCTAGCAAGCTGTAGAGAAGGGGTGGGTTCCCGGTCTCTCCGGCTGGCTGTAGAGATGAGGTGGGTTCCCGGTCTCTCCGCCTGGCTATAAGAGATGGGTTGGGTTCCCGGTCTCTCCAGCAGGCTGTAGAGTGAAAATCCAGCAGTGGTATACCACCAGTAGAGTGAGGATTGGAGCATTCGGCTGGGAAGGTGAGCAGGAGAAGAGACTAAGTGGTAAGGATGGGGAGGGGAAGAAAAGTAACAAATAGAACAACTGTTCTTCAAACAATTATGGTCAGATTTCTGAAACAACGTACGTAATCATCAACACCAGCAGTCCTCGGGGAACTGTAAACCTATATAAAAAGGAGGGGGTTCTAAAGAATTGGGTATTATTGTAGAAGTTAGTAAAAACCATCAGGTCTTGTCGAAATTAGGAGACAAAAACTATTGAGTTTGGAGGGGGTGCTAGGGTGACATATGTATCATAGTATGTGGCTAATATGGAGCTGAAACCAGCTAAAAGCTACTAGTAAAGTCGGGGGAATTAAGGGGTCAATTGTAAAAGAAAATTGCTATGCAAATTTTTTTTTTGTAGGTCTCTCCCCTGAGATACCTCATGATGCCTCAAGTATTCCCACAGCCATCCTGAATAATCCCCATAATGTGTGTAATAGATTAATTTCTTATGATCCTCAGCTCTGCCTAGTGGCCATAATGTGGTATTTTCCTGATTGAGATCATTCAGGAAAATACCACATTATGGCCACTGGATGGAGCTGATGATCATAGGAAATAAACATATTACACACTTTACAGGGATTATTCAGGATGGCTGTGTGCATGCTTGAGGCATCATGGGGTATCTCATTGGAAGAAAAACTAACAAGTAGCCTATGAGAGGCCAGGGAGACAACATGGCCATGTAGGTTCCAAAGGGGCCTCAAAATGAAAGAGTGCGGGCTCATGACCTCATCAGGGTTTGCAATATCAGGATCATAGTAGTTCCCATCAAAGATAGTAGTAAGGGAAACTCAATTCAACAGAGCAGGGCAGGGTAATTTTTGTGGAAGCATGGACATAAAACATGATACAGGGAAATGCCATGCCAATCAAAAAGAAAAGCTTCAAAAGTTTGTGAGTGAAACATGTCATAGTGAGGCTTGGTCATGCTGGACCCTTCTGTGGTCTAGTCCTGGAATAATAAAGCCTTGTGATGGCTGATGTCATCGGGATATGGCCATTCCTCATTGGGAGCACTGAGGAGCTCCATTGGCAGGCACCAGGAAACGCAGATTCATGAGCTTTGATTGGAAGTTCCCTTTGATCCTTAGGACAGACAACCCAGTTGGACCATACCCCAACAGGATCATGAAATCTCCCTCATGCTTCGACCTCTGCAAGAGTGATAGTAGAAGGGAATGCCAAGAACTTCAGAGAGAGGCTCAGAAGATCAGGTACCTTTTCTTGACCAATGTCAGTAAAAATGGAGAAGAGAAGTTCCTTTCTTGGAAGGTTCAATCTTATGAAGGAAGAAGGGGAAGAGTTCTTTCTCCGATGGAAAGGGTAGGCTCCATGATCTGGAGAAGTTCCTTTCTTGAAGGTTCAATCCCATGAAAGAAGGAGGGGAAGAGTTCTTTCTCCGATGGAAAGGGTAGGCTCCATGATCTGGAGAAGTTCCTTTCTTGAAGGTTCGATCCCATGAAGGAAGAAGGGGAAGAGCTCTTTAGGAAAGGGTAGGCTCTATGATCTGGAAAAGTTCTTTTCTTGAAAGGTTCAATCCCATGAAGGAAGAAGGGGAAGAGTTCTTCCTCCACTGGAAAGGGTAGGCTCCATGATCTGGAGAAGTTCCTTTCTTGAAGGTTCAATCATATGAAGTAAGAAGGTGAAGAGTTCTTTCTCCGATGGCAAGGGTAGGCTCCATAATCTGTAAAAGCTGAGAGGCGTACAGGCCATGCTCCCTACAAAAACACACAGAATTTAGGAGTCTTAAGGGGCCAGGGTATGATCACACAAAGGCAGCTTTGATGTTTAAGGATTACTGGTGGTGCAAAAAGAGAAGGTCCACAAACTGGGCAGTCAATGAGTGAATGAGGGTAAAACCCTAAAGGCACATCGTTAACCCAATCATTTTTCAGGCTAAAGCAACTAAACAATAGCACCTTGTCACCAAAGAGGACATCTTGTCATCGTTTCCAGTTTTTTTCAAGGCTGATTGGCAAGCTTTTGGGAAAAAAACGATATGGGGAACTGGTCACCGCCATGTGGGACATGTACCAATGCATACTTTACAAAAAAAAAAAAAAAAAAAGGGCGCCATTACATACACAGTCCCTTTAGGTACCATGCTCGGGGGATTCCTCAGACATGCAGGTGAAGCAACTCATCTACTAAAGCAAAAAAATTCTAAAAACGTTGCTGCTAAATGACATTTCCCAGCTGCTTCACATGGGGGATTCCCCTCAACATCCATACCAGAGCCTTCACCTAGAGGAGGATCTGCTATGGGCTTAAAGGGTTGAACCCCCCCCCCCCCCCCCCCCCAAAAAAAAAATATATATACCAGACTTTAATCCTTGATGAGGTCCTGGAAAGGATTTGCAGGGGGAACATTATTAAAACAAACACAAAAAAGCTTCAGGTTTCCCCCCTAAAATCCACAGCAGATCCTTATCTGAACATGATGCAGCCTGGCTGGCTAGGAAAGGAAGGGGCAATGAGGTGCCCCCACCTCTTGGACCATACTAGGCCTTATGCGTTCATTGTGGGAAAGGTACCAAAGCTCCCTGTCCCCATGTTGATGAGTACAAGAGCCTACATCCCTGTTAGGGGGACCTGGGATGCCTGCCTACCTTGGTTTCAATTAAAAGCAAGCTGGCCGGCAGCTGGATCCTTGGTTCCTGGGACCCTGCAGGTTGGATACGTCCTAGCAACCAATGACACTGTGCAGCCACCTGCATCCTACCAGTCAATTACGCTGGCTGCTTGCATGGCATCATTGGTTGCTAGGATGCAGGCAGTCACCAGCATCCTAGCAACCAATCACTGGGGGTTGGCCTTGAGCACAAAAGTTGTCATTTAGCAGTGGTATGAATAGTGCCACCAAATGAAAGACTTCTGTCTGCAGAAGACAAAGGTTCAGGTGGGGAAAACTAGCCAACAGTTTGGGTTTGGGTCAAGCCGAACCTGGAGCTCATCCCTAGTATCAAGGTGTGCTTCTTCCCAGATCTCTGATGTGCGGAAAACTATCATCCATGTAGAGGATGTTTCCCGCACTAATAAACCACAAGGGTTCTGTGGATCTTCTGATGTCTGGAAAGACAGGGCTTCTGTGAAAAACATTTCCCGCACTCAGGACAGGAATACGGCTTCTCTCCCGTGTGAGATCTCCGATGTGTGGCAAGTTCTGATTTCCGCGGATAACATTTCCCACAATCAGGGCAGGGAAATGGCTTCTTGCGTGTGTGGCATACTTGATGTCCATTAAGATGGGACTTCTGTGAAAAACATTTCCCGCACTCAAGACAAGAATAAGGCTTCTCCCCCGTGTGACACCTCCGATGTGCATCAAGAAGTGATTTACGCACAAAGCATTTCCCGCACTCAGGACAGGAATACGGCTTCTCCCCCGTGTGAGACCTCTGATGTATGACAAGGTCTGATTTCTGAAGATAACATTTCCCACACACAAGGCAGGAATACGGCTTCTTGCCCGTGTGGCATATTTGATGTCCATTAAGATGGGACTTCTGGGAAAAACTTTTCCCGCACTCAAGACAAGAATAAGGCTTCTCCCCCGTGTGCAACCGCCGATGTGCATCAAGAAGTGGTTTACGTACAAAACATTTCCCGCACTCAGGACAGGTATACGGCTTCTCTCCTGTGTGAGATCTCTGATGTATAACAAGGTCTGATTTTCGTAGATAGGATTTCCCACACTCTGGGCAGGAATGTGGCTTCTCTCCAGTGTGGCATATCTGGTGTCCAGTTAGATGGGACTTCCGTGAAAAAACATTTCCCGCACTCAGGACAAGGATACGGCTTCTCTCCTGTGTGACATCTCCGATGTGCAGCCAGAAGTGGTTTTCGTACAAAACTTTTCCCGCACTCAGGGCAAGAGTACGGCCTCTCTCCTGTGTGAGATCTTTGATGTATAATAAGGTCTGACTTCTGTAGATAACTTTTCCCGCACTCAGGGCAGGAATGCGGCTTTTTCCCCGTGTGGCATTTCTCATGTCTGGAAAGATTGGACTTCCCTGAAAAACGTTTCCCGCACTCACGACAGGAATACGGCTTCTCTCCCGTGTGAGATCTCTGATGTCTGACAAGCTGAGGCTTCGACGGAAAGCTTTTCCCGCACTCACTGCAGAAATACGGCCGTTGACCAGTGTGACATCTTACATGTACACAGAGACTGGATTTAAAACGAAAATGTTTCCCGCACTCGGGACAGGAAAATTTTTTCTCTTTTTGAGGGACGGTCCCATCACCCACAGTCTGAGGTTCCTCGGGATAAGAGGAATACGATGGTCCATCTACAATGTGGGGCACCACCAAGATGTACGAGGTGGTGGGGTTTTCTGAATACTGTGTGGTGTCCTCATCTTCTACTTTCCAGTCTGGAGACAAAGTGAGACAATCCTCAGAGGTTTTCCTCATCTTCCGGCCATGGACTAAAATACAAAAAGACAAAGAGGATTACTAGACAGGAGCTGATTGGTTCCTCCAAACCAGGACTCTGCCCACATCAGGCAGCTTTTTTGCTGAGGGTCGTTCCTGGTTCCTCATGATCTCCAACCAACTCACATCTGCATTCATTGACTCTTGTCAGAGCAAGTTTTTTCAAACTTCAGCTGTTGACGGGTTTCATGGCAGATGGCGTTTCTTCAGGACGAGACGGTGATATGATGTACATATGAATATACATTCGGTATGTTGAAATTTTGTGGTCATAGATATGATGATCCACTAAATATTAATCAAAATATACATATCTATGACCACAAAATTACAATATATCACCGTCTTGTCCTGAAGAAAAGCCATCTGCCATGAAACCCGTCAACAACAGACAGCGGAAGTTTAAAAATATTTACATTAGGAAACATGGCTTTCCTTAATGAATGAAGGAGGGGGCAGGGAGTCTCCTCCCAAAGTCCCAACATCATTGTCACTCCTACAAAGTGTGGCTCTCTCTCTGACAAGAGTCAGTGATGCTGGGACTTTTGGAACAGACTCCCTGCCCCCTCCTTCACTCATTAAGAAAAGCCATGTTTCCTAATGTAAATTTTTCTCAAACGTCCGCTGTCTTATGTTGACGGGTTTCATGGCAGATGGCGTTTCTTCAGGACGAGACGGTGATATGATGTACATATGAATATACATTCGGTATGTTGAAATTTTGTGGTCATAGATATGATGATCCACTAAATATTAATCAAAATATACATATCTATGACCACAAAATTTAAACATACTGAATGTATATTCACATGTACATCATATCACCGTCTCTCGTCCTGAAGAAAAGCCATCTGCCATGAAACCCGTCAACAGCAGACAGCGGAAGTTTAAAAATATTTACATTAGTAAACATGGCTTTCCTTAATGAATGAAGGAGGGGGCAGGGAGTCTCCTCCCAAAGTCCCAACATCATTGTCACTCCTACAAAGTGTGGCTCTCTCTCTGACAAGAGTCAGTGATGCTGGGACTTTTGGAGGAGACTCCCTGCCCCTTCCTTCACTCATTAAGAAAAGCCATGTTTCCTAATGTAAATTTTTCTCAAATTTCCTCCTTCACTCATTAAGAAAAGCCATGTTTCCTAATGTAAATTTTTCTCAAACTTCCTCCTTCACTCATTAAAAAAAGCCATGTTTCCTAATGTAAATTTTTCTCAAACTTCCGCTGTCTGCTGTTGACGGGTTTCATGGCAGATGACGTTTCTTCAGGACGAGACGGTGATATGATGAACATGTAAATATACATTCAGTATATTCAATTTTTGTATATTTTGATTAATATTTAGTGGACCATCATATCTATGATCACAAAATTTGAACATACCGAATGTATATTCAGATGTGCATCATATATCACCGTCTCGTCCTGAAGAAACGCCATCTGCCATGAAACCCATCAACATAAGACAGCGGACAGAAAAATTTACATTAGGAAACATGGCTTTTCTTAATGAATGAAGGAGGGGCAGGGAGTCTCCTCCCAAAGTCCCAACATCACTGACTCTTGTCAGAGAGAGAGAGCCACACTTTATAGGAGTGACAATGATGTTGGGACTTTGGGAGGAGACTCCCTGCCCCCTCCTTCACTCACTAAAAAAGCCATGTTTGCTAATGTAAATTTTTCTCAAACTTCCGCTGTCTGCTGTTGACGGGTTTCATGGCAGGTGATGTTTCTTCAGGACGAGACGGTGATATGATGCCCATGTGAATATACATTCGGTATGTTCAAATTTTGTGGTCATAGATATGATCCACTAAGTGTTAATCAAAATATACATATCTATCACCACAAAATTTGAACATACCGAATGTATATTCTTATGTACATCATATCACCGTCTCATCCTGAAGAAACGCCATCTGCCACGAAACATGTCAACAGCAGACATAGGAGGATGCCTTGTCATACATTTCTATCGATATTATTGTGGATTTGCTGGAGATTGATGGTCAGATTTGGCAAGGATCCAGTCCCAGTTCCAGGCAATGTCTATATTTTAGATATATATTTTGTGTGGCGTTTGTACATTTCTTTTAATCAGATATAATAAAATTGTGTGAACAACCGCATGATGTACCTTTAATGTCCATCTTTTGTGGAATAGCAGAGTATGTTTTTTTTGGATAACATCCTTCCTCATTTTAGTCATTCAGAACAGCAGACCTTATGTCAGAGAATGAAGAAACTGGTCCTGATTCACGACCGATCCTGAAGACCACCACCATCAAGCTATCGACTCATCGCTCATTATCTCCAAAATTTGAGGACACAGCCAGGCAACCAATACTTTCAGAAGGAAGTGTAGCCATGCCAGCCCTTGTTTCTCTTTCAGTTCAGGGCTCTAATTTGGACCAATCAGTGAGCAGTATGAGTGGAGAAATGATTTAGTGTTCATGTCTCACCTGTGCTGATCTCTGTAGGAGTGTCCCCCTCTATAAATGTCACAGTTATTCCATCCTCCTCCATAGAATGCTGATCATCCCTCACATACGCCTCTTCTTCTGCTTTACCCTCAACTTTTATGTCTCGAAGATCTTCACCCTAAACCAAGAGAAGGGGAGAAAACAAGCTTTAATGATCTGAGACCACATACATGATATCATCTGGTAGGTCCCGACATTGGCCTTGATTTATGGATTCTATGGAAGTACAACTGTGTGGTCAAAGATAACTCCTGTTTGGTGAGACATGGTCTACGTAGAAAAGACTTTACTTTGGAGAGTCAGGCACCTGCGGCAGTAGGATGCTCCAGGTCTGTTAGCAAGGGACCCCGTGTGTTAGTAAGTCACCAAGTCACAAAGATTTATGGTCTTGTTTTCTTTTACTGTCTGTCTCCGGCACATAGTGCATATCGTCTTGGCAAATAAATTGAATGTGTTTCATGGAAAACCTGCCTGTTTAAAATGTTGTGAGCTCTTCCTGGGAGTCACGAACATTCCACGAACATTCCACTGCTAATCTCTCACAAATGGTGGAGAATGCGGGCAACTGTGTGAGCAGGTTTGCTGAAGGCCAGTATGATAGAGTTACTGAGAGTTACTGAGACAGTTTGCTTGGGCAAACACACCATTCAACAACAGGCAAATCAACAACAGCAAGCCCAGCAACAGAGCCATGCAATTCATCAACAAGCCCAGCAGCAGAGTCTTGCAGCCCAATGGCAAGCCCAGCAACAGAGCCATGCAGTCCATCAACAAGCCCAGCAGCAGAGCCTTGCAGCCCAATGGCAAGCCCAGCAACAGAGCCATGCAGTCCATCAACAAGTCCAGCAGCAGAGCCTTGCAGTCCAAACGGCAAGCCCAGCAACAGAGCCATGCAGTCCAGCAACAAGTCCAGCAGCAGAGCCTTGTAGTCCAATGGCAAGCCCAGCAACAGAGCCATGCAGTCCATCAACAAGTCCAGCAGCAGAGCCTTGCAGTCCAAGGGCAAGCCCAGCAACAGAGCCATGCAGTCCAGTAACAAGCCCAACAGCAGAGCCTTGCAACCCAACAGCAAACTCAAGAAGAAGGCAAGGCCCAACACAGGGAATTACTGTTACAGCAGGAGCAGAGATACCAGCAAACAATTGAGGTGATAATGGACCACCTTCACAGAGATTTGGGGCCGACGATGAGAGTCCTTCCAGCAATACACCATCTTTCTGATCAACCTGCTTATTGATAAAGATAACAACGAACGACAACGCTGAGGTCCTTTTGGCTACTTTTGAATGGACTGCTGAAGATGAACGTTGGCCTAAGCAACAGTGGACTGGACTAGCCCCACTATTGTCTGGAGAGTCCCAAAAGGCCTACTATAACCAAGAACCTGTAGAAGCAAGGGACTATGCTCATCTGAAAGCAGACCTATTAGCTTGGCTGGCTGTACGGGCTCTCAGTGTGTTCACTACTGGAAAACCACTCAAACCACCAATCTACAACCCAAAAAGTGGCTGCAGCCAGAGGCTTTGCAGAACATGCACTGCAGAACATGTGGTCATGGATCAGTTTCTGAGATCCCACCATTTAGAAATGGGTGAGTCATGGAAATCCAGAGATGGTGAAAGAACTTTTGGACTTGGTTGAAAGGTACCTAGCCGTAGAAACCCTCCTCTTTTAACGTCTCAATGACTTTTCACCCCAAGACCACACCAGCCCCAGC